TGGTCGCTTCAGACGTCGGATCGGCGATCCGGCGTGCGTCCAACGGGCCAGATAATTTCGTACGGCGGACGGATTGTCGGATGCGTCCAGCCAATGACAGCACAGGTAGCGCGAACGGCATGATGACGTACTGGGTCTGGCGGGACGAACAAGAAAACGGGACGGGCGACGGGAAGCCGGACGCGTGAATCCCGCTGACCCATTCGAGAAAGATGGCCCCGGCAAAGAATGCACGCGCTAACGAGAACAAGTTCCTAACTTCGGTCGTGCGATCTAAACCGTCAATCTGGGACCAGGGATCTATAATCGCGGACCTCCGCTAGTGTGCTTGGACCTCCTGGGCGGAGCCGAACGGATCGTCGTGTCGCATGCAAGGTCGGAAGCGTGTGTTTCAAACTGTACGGCGATTTGGAGCGGCGTTCGGACTGTCGGATCGGACGTCGGATCGGACGATTCTGCCGTCCATGTGTCTCGCGCTTTAGAGTTGTTTTTTTTTTATTTCACTATAATCGTTTCACCAGTTCGCCTGCGCAGTAATTCTCATTTCATACGTGGAACACTTTTGTTATTTGGGTCGTACCGAATAGTATATATCTTTATTAACATTGTAAAAGTGTAATTGCTTTAGTTAGCGCATTTGTCTTCATCAATGAACGATGTTTAACTTCGCTATATTTTAGGCCCAAACCTGTGTTCCACAGCTGGCGTGTAAAAACAAGCGACGATTCTAAGCAAAATAACAATCGAAAGGAATATAGAGTGTGTTCAGGTTTAGCCAGCATTCCGGCGGTGCTTGTATATCGCTAATATACCGGTCCTGTCGCTATATGAAAATGACCCCATCTTGCATCCTTGCGAGCTGGTTAAAAACATTCAAAACTTCAAAATTGAAACACGTGGGCTTTAATATGTAATAATAATAGTAACGTTTCATTTTTCTTTAGTGCCCACAAACTGCTGTAACGCCTTTTGTGTGGTGCACTGTGAGTTCGTGTTCACAGCAACACTATTTAAAATACAAACAGGCGCAAAATTACACATCCATTTGTGAGGACAGAAATTCAAGTTGGTAGAGCAAATACAACCTTACACCAACTCTTGGTTGGCTAAAATAAACTTTTGCAAGGCCGACTTGGAACTAACAAAATCAAGAAAAATATCTACGTCACAATCGCATATAACATTAAAGGCAGGCTGCATACGACATAATGGCGATGATTAACAAATTCTAGTAGGATAAACTGTAAAAAAAATGGCGACTAGCTTTGGGGGGAACATGAAAGTCTATATTCATAAGTAAACTTTCAGTTTTAACAGTACAATGCATTACCTTATGAAGAAAACGAACGTCTCAAACAGCCCTCATCGTTGATAGCCTTTCAAGGCTAAACAAAGACAGCAACAAATCGTAACCAAAAAACAGTTTCCGACCAATGTATCGGTCATAAATAATTCGCATAAATTTCTTCTGCACACGCTCAATCATTTCAACTTGTGTTAAGGATAGTGAATTGCAGCTAATTGAACCGAATTCAAGTCCTGAGCGTATACAAGGCTACAGAAAAGACGCACTATACAGATAATGGTGAACTGAAAGAACTTGATAACTGAGGCGCCTGCAACAGACCGAATGAAAGAATAAATGCCTGCTTTTGACCGAAGTGGTCATTCTTCCCACGTTTCTTATTGTTGAACCAGTGATCTTAGAAACGTGCGCAGTAAATGATAGAGTACTATCAATATAGACTCCAAGGTCTCTTACCAGAGAAACACGATCTATCACGTTTGCCTCAAGCTCATAAGTGCAAAAGAAAACGTCCCACCTTCTCAATAAAAAAATAAAAATATAATTTAGTTTTTTTTTTGTTTTAACGATAATACGTTTTTTCTCACCACTCGGAAATTGCACCAATATCAGTTTGCAATAAATTACAATAAGTACAGTCTTCAACATTTAAAAGGAGTTCTATGTCGTCAGCAAAAAAGGACGTTCGATTGCTTTACCATAGCCTAACGCATGATACTATATCGTTTAGAAACAAAATAAACAACAGTGGTTCCGACGTCGAGTTCGCGCTAACAGCGTCCGACAGTGCACATAAATGCATGTACGAAGCCGTTTTAGCACCGTTTTTAATGCAAAAAATTTGAAAGAGAAACGCCTTAACTGACCGCCAATTTCTTCTGCCGGACTGAGAAATGTTCCAAGCTACCTAGTACGTACAAATTATTCGTGATATTTTCTTTATAATCGAGCGCAGGGAGAAAATACACTCACTTTTTCCCCATAGAAATGCATTACCGGAAGTCAGTTTTCGACTGGTTGCTGTTTGCTTCCATTTGCCACAGCATACTAGCGTCACCTGAACCTCTAGCGTACATTATAATAACTCTATGCCCAGATAACGGGTAGTTCTGAAACTTTGACTTCTAATCCAAACCGCTTGCGCTGTTTTCTTTTTTTTTTTTCGGGGACACGTTGTATATTTGTTTAACGTAAAGATAGGCAATTTTAGGCTAAACGGGTCGTCCCCCCTTTTCTTATTTCCGGAAACCATTTACAACACTCGCAACGGCCATGCAGTCTCGTATACAGACTGCGGGTGTTCACATACCGGACACTGCAATTTATAGGAACAAAAATAATGTAACCTTTAAAAGCGGTAACAATAGGCAACGTTTGAACGGCGCGTTATGGAAGCATTTGATTCGGCGTTTCCTAAAACAGGTTTGATGGAATGGCATTCGGTGAAACCTCGTGCTATAAAATGCCATGTCCCAGTTTCCACCCTTACAAATTAAATAGTGCAAGTACTGCAGATGGGACTGCCGAAGTGCATACAGCCTTCTCAATTGGTGTAGTAGAGAATAAGTTTTATTCGGTTCCACACGGAGGAGTCTTTAGTGCTGTTCGGGACAAGATGGATCAATCGGGAGAAATAGGGTTTCAAAATTCTGCAGGTGGCAACAGTGACCACTTTTTAGCGTTGTTGAAATTTTATCTGCGGTCGGCGGTTCTCAACTTAAACGATGAATTTTACGGGCGAGGGTTTTTGTATTAGTTCCTCAGTAGCCCTAGTTTTGCGTGATATTTTTTTAGCGTCCATGGACAAACGGGTATTGGAAGGCCTTAATCAGATGCGTGTGCTTAGAATTTTTAGATATGTAGACGATTTTCTAGGTTTTGTGGATGATCACTCGGGGATATGTCTTAATGATGTTACAAAGGTCGTCAAATTGTTTGATGCCATGTCGGACGAATTGAACTTCACCAGGAGCCTCCCAGGGACAAGCGCATTCAGTTTTTAGGTTTGCAGCTTACTTTTAGGGGTGATCACGTGTGCTGGTTGAGCAAACCGCGTTTAAGAAAGAACCTTTTGTTTTTTGATAGCATTCATTCTAAGCTGATAAAACGAGAAATTGCTCTCACTTGTCTTCGGGCTGCCCTGGCAAAAAGCTGCCATCGCTCAGACGACATCTTTGAGCTTCGTGTAGAAGACTGGACGGGCTACCCTGCCTGCTTGATTTCCAGCGTGTGCGAAAACCTCCTTCAAAATACCAAAATTAAAGGCAACAGATAAATCGCTCAGGGAAAAAAAGTTAAAAAAATATCAAAAGTTTAAGTGGTATTTTATTCACACAAGGCGTCGCTCCCCGCGCGAATACTGCTACAAACGCGCGCCAAACTTCAGCGGCGCGCACGCGGACCGCATACGGAGTCGTCGCCCTTTCTACCGCGGAACAAACAGAACAAGAAAAACAAATGACCCCCACTGTTGCAAACGTAAACTATGCGGTAGCCCGCTGAATCTGGCTGAAACTCGAAGACAAACAGGCAAAGAGGGACCCGCTGCTAGTGCATGATGCAAAACTATCGATAGTATCGATAGTTGTATAGAAATCTGACATTCGATAGTCAACTATAGTAAATCTATCGATAGCTCTATCGATAGTCGACTATCGCAAAAGTATCGATATTCGACAATTTATCGATAGTTTAGCATCACTACTAGCAGTTCATAAGAAATGGGGGGGGGGGGGGGGGGGGGAGAGAAGGGGACATCTTGCAGTACCATAGCCTATGGCTATGGCAGTACACAGCACGCGGTGCGGGTATGATCCTCGTTTAGAATTTACCAAATTTATTAAAAGACCAAATAACAAGCCTGAAAAAGGAATAGTGTAAGAGTATTCGATCAAATCCACGGTTGACAACTGCGCCAGCACGCCTTCGATTTTACTAAATGACGAGGAAGTTTCTTTTCTAAACAGTTTTGTGTAGACACGTTGTTGAACTGATACGAACGTTTTAAGCATTGTCGCGTGTCGCTCGCGTTTAAATGACAGCTTTTATCACGTTTATTGCATATCTTGCCAACCGATTAAATCATTTGGCAAGATATGCAAGAGCGTTTACGCGTGTGTGCCGGTTTGACTGACCCGATTAAATCGGTTGTTGAAACTTCGCGCCTCCGTGTCGTATGTGTCTCTTTCTCGTCTGTGTTTTTTGCGTTTTTAAGTCCTTCAAGTCAACGAACCAACTTTACTCTGTTTCACCTTATGATGTACCGCGGGAAATTCTACAAGCGCGAGCTCCTTGCTCTGGGGCACATATCGGCGGCACAAGCTCTCGTGACTTAAGAGCAGCTGCCAACGCTAGGAGTTCGCGCTTCTAGGCTTCGCTGCGGTACAACATAAGGTGAAACTAAGTATATAGCCCAATCAAATTTTTTGCGCGTGTTTTTGTTTCAATTATTTTGAAAATACAAGGAGTGTGCAGGCGAGATGGTGGAGGTATAGACTCAAAACTATCTGTTTTTGTCTCTACTTATACTCTTCGAACACTTTCGAACAGTAAGTAAAGACACAGTCTACCCCTAATCGTTCCACTCAGTGCCCGGCGGGCAGTTTGAGTGATGGCCTGGTGGATGAGCGCGCGCAGAAACAGCAAACGCCGTGACGTTTGCACGTTCGACGCTGCTCCATCGGACCCCTCGGCTAGAACCGTTCACTGCGCTCGGAATCCGTGAAACTGCGCCACAAACTTGCTCGAATTTTTCTTTCCATCGGTGCTAGTGAACAAGGGTCCACTAGCACTAATGGAAAGAAGTTGCTAATCTGGATAAGGATGACACGGCTCGGATGAAACCATGCAGTGACCGATTCCGCGGTCGCGATAGATAAGATGCATCGAAGACATCGCCGCTTTTATTGCTGCTTCTCTTTTTTTACTTCACGGCGGGCGCCCTTCGCGAGGCGAAGTTTGCGTTCTTGGGCCGGGTGCAACCGACCCGCGGTCTCGTGTGCACAGGGGGTTATCTGCCACTCGAACTGGTCACTCGTGAGCCGTTGTCGGAGACTGCGCCCAGGAATTTTTCGGCCGAGAACTCGGGGGAAATCAGCTCAAGAAAAGGCGGCTCCATTGAACCCGGTAAGCGTCCGTATCTGCGAGGCGGGAAAGACAATCCGCGATCCCGTACGATATCTCCGAGACGTCGTCTGCTTTCTCGGAGCTTCGGAGTCAAGCCCAGCCCGCGATTCGTCCGATCCGTGTTTTGCGATCAATACACGAACGCTTCGCTTAGAAGATATAACTTCTAGATCACGGTCTATTGTATAGTGACACTTGAATGCGATTGACTAAAGTGTTTGTGGATAGAACCTGTAGAATTTTATCCACAAGCACGATCCAACTAGCTCAGATTTAACCCGTCGTTGATCGAGGTGCTGAAGGATGCCTAATTTTAAAGCTTGGTACGAACTTCGATCTCAAGTGCTTCGTGGCCTGCTGTTTTCATTGCCGTGTTCTTTCAATTTTCACACATTTGATTGCCGAAATTCATTGTCCGAAGGTCAATTCATTAAACTAAGCTTCGATTTCTTTTCGGCGTTATGCTCTTTGTGTGCCTTTATTTTCTGGGAAACCCGCGGTAGAGTTGTCGCACTTCACCGCGTATCAGATGTGTGCCGTGTGGGCGAGAAGCGAGTGTCGAACGCATGCCTAACCGATTGCAGACGGCACTCTTTCGGTCCGATAGGCGATAAGAACTCGAGTGTTCTCTTGAACCGAATCTTTCCGCTCTATCATCAATACGCCGTAGAAAAAAGGCCCGCTTCTTTTTTCAAACATCATCACGAGTGGTGGGCTCGTGCAGCGTCACCCGCCTTGCGTCAGCGTCGCCAAACACGCCGAAGCTTGACCAGAATCGTCGCGAAGGGACAGACGCGTTCGTCTTGACGGCGCCGCGTGTTGGCGTCGTGCTCGTGGTCAGACGCTGAAAGGCGCGCTGGCTGCGTGGACCCACTGGTGATGACGTTTCAGGGGAAGAGGAGCAGGCCTTGTCTTCTAGGTGCTACTGCCTCCTACACTGTCTGCGGGCTGTCTGTCGTATCGTTAGTAGTGAGCCTTCGAATGTTTCGACTGCCTCGCCCTGGAGACCTGCAGCTGCTTTTCAGCCGACGTCGACGAACAGCAGGAGAGCGTTCCCCTCGCAGCGGCTAGCCTGACGGAGGCGCGACCGAGAACAATGATCTCGTGGACGGTTCCATTGTCGACGAGCGGTGCAGCTGGTTGGAGACACTTTCAAAACACCTGCGCAATGCTAATGCAACGAACAAAAGAAAAAGAAGATAGTCGTACGGTGACTGAATTTTTCTACGCCCCGCATGACTCCATTCAGTTCGATAAAGTCTGACACCGTTTGTTCGTCACGGAGGACAAAGTAACGTGGCAACTGGTGACTTTTGGAACATTTTGATATATGCTGGCAACGTATGGTAAGAACAAAGTTAGCAGCGTCCTTTATTTCGAAAGTCCTATTGGCGACTCCAGCGAAACCGACGCCGCGTAGCGGCAACGCCGAGAAGCTCAGGAGAGGAGGTCGTTTCGATTCTGTCGTCTGCTAGCGCTGCTTGGTTCAACAAACATCGTTTCCAGTAATTATTTTTATGTTTCCGCCATGTCATTCCTGCGCACTGACTAGAGGAAGGTTTCTGCCGTCCGTCAAAAAATCGCTTTGCTTTCATATGTAACACAGACTTTACGCTGCAGTGCAAGCAATTTATGGTGGTCCGGATTCTGAACGACGAAAACGACCCCCTTTTGTCCGCCATTTTGCCTGACCAGCGCGCCCCCTATAGTTTGCTGCAGTCGCGAATGATGCGTGACATGCAGCGTTTAAGGAATTTGTTTAAAAGACATAGAAGGGAAGACGCATGCGTCACGTGACACCAATTTACTCGCCAAACTTAGCGGGAAAACTGAGTTTGTGATGTCAATTTTCCCTCTAAATTTAACGGGGAAACGGCACTTCGTGTGTAGGTCATGTTCCCACGTTACTACGATTTCCCCGCTAAATTTAGCCGGGAATCCGGATTGGTGTTTAGGTCATGTGACGTCAATTTCGCCTGCTAAATTTAGCGGAACGCGCACGGACAGACGAATACAATTTGGGAAAAAAAGAAAAAAGGAGGGGTGCAACTTTTTTTTTTTTTATTTAAGCAATTTGTAGGGGAGGTTGCTTTGTGGAGCTAATCTGCAACTTGCTCGCACTCGAACTTGAGATTTGTCGAGCGTCTTTGCGAGAAATTTTAAAATAAATGAGCGCGTTCTCTCGGGGTGTCTTGCATTGGTGCCAGCTTGCAGCTGATACAGATTGATAGTGCGGCATCGAAGTTGTCGTTCGTAACTTGTTCGGGGCTTGCTGCACGAAAGAGATTTTTTATTGACCTTTTTTAGGTCGCTCCAGGACTCTCATTAAGATAGAGTGTGCAAACCCTGGCTCTGTAGAAGAAACGCAACAAAAAATATACATTTTAACTTTTTTGTAAAAAGGCTGGAACACGCGCGAGAAACCAACCGCAAGTCGCACATAATGCGAAACATGCGATAGTCTTTTCATGCTGTTTTTGAAAAGCGAGAATATTAACTGCGCGAAAATCGCAAATGTGGTTCGATAAATACCTACGCATGCAATACAAGTTGATTAATTCAAAACGCTGAAAAAGATTTTGTTTCTTTTCTTTTCTTCTTTTTTTTAGGGGGGAGGGGGGGGGGGGGAGATAGGAAATATTCACTTAAAAATTCCACAAGCGGGTCACGGGCATGTTCTAGCAGGCTCGGGATATTCCCCCTCTCCCAATGTCCTCGCTAAATGCCCTAATAAACGCCGGTTTTTCGTGGTTCCTTTACGACACAGAAAATTGACATTGAAATGAAACGCCAAACTTGTAGGAAATTATAAATCAAAATATGCGGAACTCCATGTTTTCGATATTTATATACAGATAAACCCTGAAAAATGAAACCCCCAAACCGAATTAAAAAAAAAAAAAAAAAAGGTTTGGGGCAGTTTTTGAAAAAGAAAATGTCAGGCTTCGCGGAATTTATTATTATTATTTTTTTTCTTATCTGGAACTTTTTTTTTGTCTTGACCCAGAACATTGAGCCCCCACTCAAGTGTGCGCGAGGCGGCTGCTTTCTTCGGACGGCCCTCATCTTCTTTTTCTTATCGGTATATCGCACCGGGACCTTTTTTTAAGTACCGCACTCGCCGCAAACAAACAAACAAAAAAAAAAGGAACGGCTGCCGGTGGGCTTTTCATTAGAGAGTTTTAGTAGATCGTTCCTATGACTCCGATAACGATACCCGATACTCCGCCACCGCCTCCCTTGTGCATGCATAGTAGAGTTTTAGTAGATCGTTCCCATGACTCCGATAACGATACCCGATACTCCGCCACCGCCTCCCTTGCGCATGCATAGTATCGTTATCGGGGCTATCGGAGGTATCGGAACGATCTACTAAAACTCTCTAATATCGTTATCGGGGCTATCGGGGGTATCGGAACGATCTACTAAAACTCTCTATTACTGAGTGGTTAGGAACGAGCGAGAGACCCGGTTGAACGCCTTCGACGCGTGTGTCTCTCAAAGTTCGGTTGCTTTTCTTCGCCGGTTTCCTCTCTCTTATTTTACTTCCAGATGTTATTAGAGCTACCGGAATCAACGACGGCGATCCCCCGGTCATCGGGACATCCTTGTTCGGCAATACGATGCACGGATAACAACCGAAAGCGCAGAATAGTATCAGAGGACCTCTGTTTCGCGCACGCATGCAGGGGCGGATGTATGGGTCAGGCCAAAGAGGGGCGGTAGGCATTCGGCTGGTGTGAGATAGGATGCTACGGTCAAAACGTTGCCCATATCTCTTTTGTTGGCCCAATAGTGTAACTTTACTTAAGTTAATTTATCCTAATGCTGGTATCTTGCAAAGGTAACGTTGACTTGACTTTATTAGCGAGTTTTAGTAGGCCGCGTTTCCCCCTCCGCTAAGCCCCTCCGCTACCCGAAACTCTACAGCCAAGGCCATCGGCGCGCAGGCGCAGTGGCGGTTTCTTCCTAGCGGAGGGTTAGCGGAGCGGGAAACACGGTCTACTAAAACTAGTTTTAGTAGACCGTGTTTCCCCCTCCGCTAACCCTCCGCTAGGAAGAAGGGGGAAACACGGTCTACTAAAACTCCCTATTAGGGAATTTTAGTAGACCGTGTTTCCCGCTCCGCTAACCCTCCGCTAGGAAGAAACCGCCACTGCGCCTGCGCGCCGATGGCCTTGGCTGTAGAGTTCCGGGTAGCGGAGGGGCTCAGCGGAGCGGGAAACACGGTCTACTAAAACTCGCTATAATCTACAACGTTTAGTTGAAGGCTCATTTCCGCCGCTGGGTGTTTCTGAAATTTGTCGAAAGGTTGGTTCTATCGGTTTTTCTTAATCGTGACCTCCTTCGTAATGGTAGAAAGCCGCGAACTTACGTTGACCATCACAACGGGACTGGGTTCTCGTTGTTTTGAACATCGGTGCATAACGTAGCTAATAAGAAAACTTCAATTTTTATTGCTGAAACATGCCCATGCATCTACTTCGAATCTTTGAATCATTGATCGACTCGCTCCGGCAATGGGCCCCTCTCGATTTCGATGTTTTTAGTTCTAGACAAAAGACACGCTCGTCGGCACGCAATCCTCATTTAAAACTTTTAGAAACATCTGCAAGCCGGAAGGAACTGCCATCGATCGTTTCCGTCAATGCTCTTATTTCGCGCGTCCTTGTTCGCATCATATTGAATCGTTGTGGACGACACAAAACGCCAAAAACATTCTCATTGTACTGTATCTACAACGACAAAAAATGAAAGAAAAATGGAAGGGAAACTCAATCATTTTAAACTGGTACAAAGGCAAAGGCATAGACGTGGGCGCATGGCTTTTAGATTTGCTTTCCTTCCGCGAGTGCTCGTGAAAGAAAGGCAAATCTGAAACGCAAACGTTTAACTATACCCCGTTTCATACTCATGAGACGCTAATACTCCGTCTCATACTCATCAGACGGAGTATTAGCGGCGAGATGTTTCCGTGGCGCCCTCGTATGGTTACCTCT